CCCTTGGAGAACTTTTGGCAGGCCGGTCCTGGGAAGATTCACTACTGTTCTAAGTGTTCTCCATTTGGAGATTATGGCTCTCACTGTGGTTTGGTGGACTGTAACCCCAGACTGATAGATATCAACAACTTTTTTTCTGATCACTTCAGAAATTTCCTTTGATTGTGGTATAATGTGCTTGTTGAATATTTGTGCAGACAACTTGACCTTGATGGTAAGGGTAAAAATAAGTGAGGTTTATATTGAGCAGGGCTGGCTGTTATTTGTTCACTCATGTTCCCTTTATCTAATGTTAGATTTTGTTTGAAGACGTGGAAAATTCTGTGTCATTAATGTTCAATAATAGAGGAAATCAGTAGGGGTCAAATACTTTTTCATGGCACTGTAGATTTAATTTGAACCTTTCTTTCTTATTTAGTTCTGACTTTAAAAATATTTTTCTAGTTACAAGATGCCTTTTTTCATATAATTTCCTAACGGTGTTTTAAAATTTCAGAATAACATTGTCGTGAACTGAGTGCACTACAAAGATTTTTAGTTGCTTTTAAAAAGACAAATAGGTTAGACTTCATCCAGAATTGCTTTCAAAGTGCAATATTGCCTGTAACTGCTGTTTCTGTAATGACGCAAAACTATACACCATAATCTGCAGCATTCTTTAGGCTGAGAAATTTATGATACAGGAAGTCAATCCATTTTGACCAAACCACAAAGTACAACAATTATTTGTATAATCCATACTTAAAATATTCATGTGCTGAACTCAAGCTGTTAATGGGGATAGAATTCCTCAGATAGGCTAACAAGAGTCTTCAGACAGGTTTATCCAGGGAACAGATGGGAGCACAGAAAGGCCATTCTGTCTGGGAGTGCAAAGCTCGGAATAATAGAGGGTTACATGTACTATAAACATACTATACTATAAACATTGTTTCTAAGTCACGTTTAGTACACTAATGCATACACAAATATTTAAACCTATCGTAATACAGTAGGCTAAAGTTGTATAAATTCTGCATACAAATGATAAAGCATACTAGCAAGGTATGATTTGCAATATGTTATATACTAATTTAATATACTGTATATATAATATTAGTATACTGTATATTTTTTGCTTTAAAAAGTTTTTAGCTATTTTGTTATTTTATCATTCTTGACAATTGATAAGAAAACTCATTTTACAGTGATGACCTGGAGACCCATTCTATTCAACAGGGCATTTACTGGAACAAATCCAGTGAAGTACCTTATTTAAGCATACAGCAGTAGTGCCCCGCCCAAGATTTGCACTAATTACAATAGGCATTAAAATGCAACAAGACAATGTATTCCCACACACAGCAAGGGCTATAGCACTATACACTTCAACTGTTACCCCAGGCACTGGAACTCACACCATTGAATTTTTGTCTGTTTCCGTACAATGAAAGAAGCTTTTCTGAGATCTGAGCTTCATTGGTGATGAGACCAATTGGTGTTACAGGAAGGGCTCTTGGACTAGGTTTCATCGTTTCCTCATTTGGGCATCTATAACCTTGTATGAAGCATTGACATATGTGTACCGACGTGCAGAGGGATTTCTGTGACATGTATTTGATGGATAATTCACATAACGTGGCAATTTATGCTGATGCATATACTGTACATTTATCATGTAAAGAGGTTTGTTAACTTCTAATTCATTAGATACACATTAATGGCATTTGTATAGATTTAATAAAGGGCACATACACAGGAAGCTAAACAAATCTTTGGATTTTAAATTTCTGTAACAAACCTTTTATACTCAAGCATTAAAAGTGTTAGGAATGCTGGCTACTGCCACAACAGCACATCTGATCTGTAACCCAAACACACACTTACTCAGCATCTTCTGGCACACCTGCTCTGTCACACTTCAGTTCTTTCTCATCCCACAGAAAGCAGCTCGTTATCATAATGAATCGTTCTCATTCTCTTTACTGTGGACCCCCCTCCTAAGGAGAGCTAAAAAAAAATCATGAGGAGGGGGTGCCATTATTTTTGCCAGGCTGAGTTCAATACAAACATTCAATCACACACATCTCTTGCAAGTGTGTTTGGAGATATTCTTCTGTACCTTTGTATCAATCCTAATCAAGAGTATGCTAAGCAAAAGAAGAAATGCTATATTAAGAAGCAGCAAAAATGTTCAAGAAGTGGCTTGATTTTCTGGTAAAATTGCAGGCACACAAATATATGTCTTATTAAATGATAGTAGTAATAAAGATGGTAATAGAAATATTAATTATAATATTTTAGTACAGTATGTTCCTTTTTTAAAATTAGTTCATATAATTGAAAACAACAAAATAGAGCCTTCTATTGCACTTGATTTACACAGGAAATTACTGTTGTGATCACGTCATTCTGAATTCTGTTCAGTGTCACAGAAATAATTGTCAAGATTGTCAGGATTGTTCCTGGGTAAATTATAAAACTAATGGACTAATTTGACTAATAGAATCAGGGAACAACAGATTGAGTTAGATAACATGTTCTTACGTTCTTTTGAGTTGTCTGAGTGTTTTCAGAAACTGAAAGAAAAATGGTTTTGGAAGAATTGCTGTGGTCATAGCCTGTGTATGTGATGCATAGAATAAGTGTCAGGCAGTTCTCCACAGCAAATAGAATCTAAAATCTAGTAATAATATTTTACGGTTCCTGATCATATTCAGACTGACCTCTGAAGCCAAAATCATCATTAGGCTGGTTTCACATATTTGCAGCACTTTACAAATTCCTAAAATGCAATCATATACATACAGTACAATAGCATATATTAATTCAATTTCTTTGTCTCTTTCTTTCTTCTTGTAAGTGCCTTAAAAAGTATTGCAAAGGAATATTATACAGCTCATGGTATGAAAACAATTAGTCAAGTTTAGAAGTTTACATTTTAAAATGTACAATATTGTATATAACAGCGTGCACTTTACTTTTTTATGAGATAGTCCCCCTTTATTAAACTGCAGTGTACTTTTAGTTCTGTTAGTGACTTGACACAGATTTTGATGTATGTTCAATCTAAAGCAAAACTGCAGCCTTCAGTGGGTCCCTGGGAGTTCTGGGATGGCATGTCTGTTTTCCTTTTGTGTACCAAGAAACACCGCTTTCCAAAAAGTGGCAAAACCGGCTTTCCTTACACCCAGAGACCACCTGGGTAAACAGATGGGAATTTGGTCTTGTAGATTCGTCTTCTCTGCCTGCATCTGCTGTATGACCCGAAATTTGTTTTGTGTGACACACATACAGGACTTGATTGAATGAAAAGAAAATTGCCTTACAATCATGGCATCTTCTAATGGCGCTTCCACTCGAGGTTATTAGCCTGGTTTTATTCAGCCCGTGCTTTCGACGCCTGCCTCCTGTGAAGGTCTCAGATTTTGGATAGATCAATGTTGAAAGGAAGTGAATTATTTCAGCTTACTCGTCAGCCATCGCAATGTAGATAGTTTCCTCCACTCTGTCTCTATTTTTACAACTCAGCTCGGGGATAACAGAGAGTTAGGTGCCCTTAGACATTGTTTTGTATGGTTTACACTGACCCCCATCTGCAATTCCAAAGGTCAACATATAGGCTGAAACCACAGTAACACCCTGTGTTTGAATTCTTGTAAAAAACCCAGCATTGTATATGTGTTCTGTAGTTTGACAAAAGTGAAGGATTTGGGAACAGGAGAGATATACTTATTATTCTTTATACTCTATAGAATGTGTTTTCTGCAATGAATTATATTCATAATTAATATCAATGAGTTGACACACGATATTTTCATGGGGTAATCGTTTATATTCAAGTTTTATAATTGTTGGAATGCTTTTGTATTTTAAGACGGAAGAAAATAACTTATGCCCCTAATCTTTATTTTCAGTTAAAGTAATATGTGAATAAAATGGATAAAAATCAATGACATTTGAGGAAAATGCACCATATCTCTGAAAAACATTCAGTTCAGAAAATATTATTGAATGTACACTGGAGATGTGCAACACACATTTGGGAATGGATTTTATTCATGCATATACTGCAGTGTGTTTTGGAAGTTGTGTCCTTCTTATAGAGTGTCATTTTTAAAATATATGTGTGTTTCTTTTGAGTATTGCTGAAGCAATAAGTCAATGCATTATAAACACTCAGATGGCGATTACTGTAAGCTATAAACAAAGTCTCTTCTTTTTCTCTTTAAAATTTCTAATTGGGTGTTTAATACGTAGCAGGTGGCACATGTTGTAAGTGCAATAAAATCCTTTGCTTAAAGGATTATAAGGTATGTTAGTAATTCATTGTGGGGTCTCTTTGAGAATTAACTTTTGTTTTAATTATGTGAAAAAAAGAATAGAATGGAACAGAGAACCACTCGAAAGTCTTGTACAGTACTTAAGTGCTACTGAAATTGTGGGTAATTCTTCAAGAAGAAACTTTTTTTTTCTTGGCTTGATAGCAGTATGTATTTGTTAAATATATTGGGAGATGGCAGATCAACAGCAGTGTTTGTCCTTGGCGTTAAAATAATTACTGCAGACTGATCTTTTCCCATTTTTCAGATTCAGATAAGAAATGTTTACTCTTATTATGTATACTTTGTGAAACTGTGTAAGCAATAATACTGTGTAATGTATCCTTCAGTTAAGCAATAACATACTGTGTGGTCAGTGGTAATTGAACATGAAGTAACACAAAGCTAATCTAAAAATTTTACTCAGACCTTTTTTTTTAGCTTTTCCTTACAGTCTTACAAGGACAAATGAAAAATGACAAACAAAACCAGTGTTGTGCTCAGAACAATGCGGGTATGATGGGTAATGAAACATTGCATTTTGCTGTTCTGCCAGAAGAACTATTGCTCATGTCTTACAGCAATGCCAAGAGGATCCTCCTGGCAGGGCAAGAGACTGACTGCTTTCTCTGTAATGAGCAAGAGAATTGAAAAAAATAACACATTTCAGTTTGGTCTTTTTCTTTCTTCTTTTTAAAGGGTCATCTTTCAAACCAAGCTGCAGTAAAGCGGACAAATACTTAGAATTCATCCCCATTAATCTACACACTCAAAGAATGCAGGTTAGCTGCCCAAGGAAAACGGGTATGTAAACACAACTTGTCAATTTTGTGCACCTTAAAGTCTTCTTTCCCAACAGGTTTGTTGCCAGTTCCCTAAGTACAGAGTGCCAGCCTTTATATCAGTCATGAGATACAGGAAACTGTCATCTCAACCTAGAACCATCAAGCCCCCATGGAAAGTAACAAGGACTGACAGTTCTGGGGTTCAGGTCTCCAGGGTTACTGCATGGTGTTTTCTTATGCTCTAATTGTCCTGGTGCAAAGTCAGCCAGTCTAATATAGTTAGCAAGAGGTCATCAGGGAGCTGACAGGTGAACATTAACACAGGTAGACAGGAACACAATGCACTAATTAAGCCTGGTAGTGTTTACTGAAACAGTGTAGGGTATTGCTTTTCCCTAGCTCTACTATTTCAGAAAGCAGAACTGTCAGATTTTATCATATCATCTAGCTGTTAGCATCCTTTGCAAAAGTTATTTAGATATTTGTGGTTTGATTGATAGAAGAAGAAAAAATATGGGCCTTGAAACCAAGCTCTACTGTGATCATTGATGTTGATAAAAAAACAGCAATTATCTCAAGCTATAATCACCTAGACAATTTCTGAAGAAGTTAACTTAAAAAAGTTTTGTCATTTGGGCTTTGTCTTTTATTATATATTATGTTATGTTACTGTACACTCTGCAAGAATGTAAATTTAAATGTAAAATCTACAAGAGGGCAAATTTAAAGCTTCATAAATATTTAGCTTTTGTTACCATAAAGCATGCTGAAATAAATATAAATAATACATTTATCTGTATCATCAATTCATTTTAATGTTTTTATTCTGTAGTCAAGCGTATAAACGATGATTTACGACAGAAACATGTTATTTAATAGAGTTTGAGCTGTTCTAATAAGCCTGTTGAATAGCCACTGTATTTGCTTTAAATATCCAATTATTTTTTTCTTTTATTTATAATATCACATTACATTCAATTAATCCAACACAGCCCATAAACTTATTTTGATTTTCTTCTAAGTCATGAAAATGAGTGATTATGTTTCTGCATGATTTCATCTGTTTTGTTTGAATGTACTCCAGTTAAAATGTGAACCATAAGCCTTTTTCTAGCTGCTGGAAGATGATGATTTAGTTGTAATTCCTATCCATTTTCCTCCTTTGACAGACATGCAAGGCAACATTAAAGCAACTCTTACATGCAATGCTTGACTCATCACGGTAGAAAGGAAAACAATGTTTAAAACCCTTTCAGTGTTCATTTTGACATTGTAATGAATAGATTGTTCTGTTTTGAAGGACTTTGGAATCATTCAGTTGTTAATTCTTCTAAATTATCACAATATCAGTTATCCATTCCTCCCTTAAGAGAGATAATATCTTAGCTGCTGTCAGTATTCACTTTTACCAAACTAAGATGAAGAAAGAGCTACTATTCAGTACATGAATGATTGAAATGTATCATCTTTATTTCTTTGTTACCATATTCTGAAGTGTTAGATCCATTTTTAACTGCAGTACCAGGGGGTAGATAAGAAATGTGAAGTCACTACTGAAGGAATACAGTATTTAAAGTTATTACAGCATAGAAAGTAAATGGCTCTATAGGAATAGAAATTGCAGCTTTTTAATTTATATCACTCTGTCCCATATGTATAAAACAAACATCTTTCCATGTTCTTTTAAGTCCATATTTAATCAGCATCTTTTGCTGGTGTCTTTAAATATTTAAACTAGGCTTGAGAGAACATTCACTGAAATAAGAGACTGTTCTGAAAATAACCAACCTTATCATCTCTTCACATTAGGTATCAGTAGTACAAGTGTTCTGATCAAGTTTCTTACAACCCTTTTCTCCGGGTATTCTAAAACACATTAAACCTTTTCAAAAAGAAATATTACTATTGTTTATGGAATGTATTTTCTTCTGCAGAAAAGTCAAGGAAAACAGTAAAAATAAATCCAGTTAAAATTTTGTTAACTCCCATTTTTTTAATACAATTTTCATGCACTACTGCTTTAAGCTCAAGTAGCTTTGAATGTACAGTACTAATTGCTAGATATCAACAATAAATTCACTTACACAACTATCACTTTTGCTCTTTGACTGCAGCTACTGTACAAATACTTATATACTTATACATTTTTTCACTTCTTTTCAGTTTAAAATTTTTGGTGTTTATTTTAATATTTATTTGTCTAATGCTTGTATTCAAAACAGCATTAATGTAGCTTGTTATTTTACTGGAGAATTTCAGGTGAAGTACCTTTCTGAATGGTACCTACATGGTTACTTATCTGAAATTTGGACCTGTAATCTTCCACAGATTAGCTCCACAGTGCATCCCTATTTTATACTATAATATAGTCATTTTAACAGGATCTAACTCGTTTTAAAATGCAATTAGCTGTCATCTCATATTCCCTAGATCCCAGATTAGCAAAACAAACGCATGAAGTGAAAAAAGGGTAGTAATAGCTGTGCTCTAGCTCTGCAGGACTGAAGTATGAGTTAAATGGGGTCTGGGGATAGTGATATATATCACATGTACAGTAAACTTGCTGAATGACTGATAAGATATTCGGTGCCTGTGATGATACCTTTCTTGGCAACACACATCTCATTATCTATTTCTCTTTTCTTCTTTGCTAACATAATTGCAAGGCACTTATGAACATTTTTAAAGTTATCCTTTTGAGATTGTATAAAACCCTGTAGTTACAGTTTTTATCAACTCATAATGGTTAAATCTCTGAGGAAACTTTGGAAGAGTTTGGGGAATTTATAGGTGTATGTAAATGTATCTTTACAAAGTTACCCCCTTTCAAAATAGATCTGTACCATCATTAAACAGGGCCACTGTGATTGGACAGAAGCAGGGAATCACAGGGAGGCCAGTGTACAAGAGGCTGTTACAGTAAAATTGCCAAGGGTGTCTGCTTGTTGTATGGGCAAAACAGACTCATTAAAGGTGCAGACTGATTCCTGGCCAAGACTCTGACTAAATGTGCCACTTGAGAAAAAATAAGCTTGTCTTGTGGGACCTAGCCAATGGGACCTATGATAATTTGAGGCTTGTTTTCTAAGGTTACTACTAAAACTCAAATGAAGGAGTGTCTAATCTAGCCAGTCTCACTTAAAATGAGAGACAGAATAAGACCACGTTGACATCCTCTTAAGGGAAATGAGGCGATAGATTCTACTGTGAATTAAAAATAAACACCTTGGAAAATGTTTTTGTGTGTAGATTTCCTGGTGTTTTTGAATTGGTGAGCGGTTTGCAACAAACTCAATTCTGCAAAATATTTGGAATATAATTTAGCAAGAAGATGTCACAGTATACTGTATGTGAATTGTGTGTATCTCAGCCCTGTGAAAACAACACATTAATCAATTCCCCCATTCATTTGCAACATGCCATGACTGATGATTGCAGAGAAGAACTAGCCACTTGGGGTGGTGAATGCTGCAATATCGTAGCAGTTGGTTGCACACTGGCTTAATATTCACCCAACAGCCATTTCTCATTTGTTAGAATATGTTAGGGTCACTGGTATGTTATTGATCACCCTTATTGGGACATACATCACCACAGCATGACAAAACCATCTTCAGCATCTTTCCAACTGGTTTCAATAATCCATATCTACTGCAAATAGAGCAACCTGGCAGAATATGGTGCTATAGGCCTTATCATGTTCAGATCCTTGCACATGAACATTGCACATTGCCCGGTTTATAAATGCCAGTGAGATTTCAACTCTGTTGTTGAATGGGTTTGTTGGAGGAGGAGTAATGGCATGGGGTGAGTAATGCTAAATCTGATCAGAACTGGGTGTGAAAAAACATCCTCAAATACAGACCAGCAAAGTTCCATTGTTTAAAAATATATTTTTTAATAATAAAAATATAAGATCTTACAAGGTTATTTTGTCTTTGTGAGAACACTTAGTATGTGTTTGTGGTAAAACTATCAATACGAGAACTGTGACATTTAAACAAATGCATGTAAACAAGTGCCACCTTGTTAGGGTTTTTATAAAGTACCTGCCAAACATTTGCTTAACATGCTGACTGCTTTGATAAGGAATAATACTTCAGTCTCCTGATGCTTGCCATCATGATGATTAACTAGACTTGAACAAGGTATGTGAGATGTTTACAAAGGCATGTCTTAAGTCTTTATCAGCACACTTGCCTCTTTTTCAGATGCAGCTTATGATGTCATTACTGTTGGAGCCCCTGCGGCCCATTTTCAGGGATTTAAAAATGGAGGTCTTCAGAGACTGCTAAGCAGATTTGAAGCAGAAAAAAAGAAGTGAGTAAATCAAATGTAACCTATTTTATTTGCATTACAAATGCAGTTATCATTTTAATGGTCTTTTGCTTAGAACATGTGTGCTTCTTTTCATGACAGATCTTCCTTTGTGCTTTTCTGCATCATGTACATCCAGAATGTCTAGATATTATCTGAAATATTTTTCAGTTCATACTTTTAACCACCGAGAAATTGTAACGACAGAATAAGAGAGCAGCATATTTTCTAAATCATTAGAAATATCTTTGCAAGTACATACAGTAATGAACAATGGAGGACAAATGCGCCTTGGTTTGCTCCGATATACTAAAGTTTCAAAACCAAAGGAATATATCACTCAATGTAAAAACAATGACATCCAAGCAAACTGAGCAAACTTTTGTTTATTAGACTGCTGTCCTAAATCAGAATTACTTTGATTGTATTGTTGGTGTCAACATAAAAGTATCTTTTGTGTCAGTGCATCATCTGCTAACTATGCTATTTTTTCTATAAAATTGTCAATGTAATAATATTAGGTGCTATGCTAATATTTTGAATATATTTTTATGTTTTGTTTTATTTACTGTGCTATATACACATTATTTTAACAGTTTGTAGGCATCAAACCCATGTTTATGGCTTTTGTGAATAACTGCTGAACTTTGCTCATTAGATTTTGTCCTAATCCAGCAGACCCCCAAATGCCTTGATCTTTTTCCTGGTATTGTAAAGGTAATTTAGGATAAGGCAAAGCACATTATGACAGTTCCATCATTAAGCACGAGGACTGAGATCTGGGGCATTGTTCTTTTAACTGGGAAAGGAGATGAAAGTTGCTCACTTGATATTCTGGCCAGATAAACATAAACTACAGACTACTTTTTTCATATGATTACCTTAGTAATTCTATGTGACTTCTGCAATGCCGTTATAAAATTGCTATAAAAAGGCAATATTTTTACATATTGCAGTATTATGTATGTTATATCTATTGGTCATTGATTCTTTTTTTTTGTAAATGGACAAGTACTACATCCTCAGTATCTCTATTGTATAATCAATATTTATTAGTGCCTAAAGTTGACATATTGCTGGGCAATGAACTTTTCAATATGAGATCATTCATGTGGTGCAATAAAACCTTAAAGCCCATTTATCAGCCCAATGTGAGAAGGATGAACTTCAGTTATTGTGACTGCTGCATTCTTAATTTTCCAGGCCGGTTAGGGATTCAGAATAGGGGTCTCAGTCACTATCAGTAGGTCTTTCTTTGGGCCTTCCTATTTTTCACAAAATAGTTCCCAGCAGTACTGTTGACAGAAGATCTACAACAACCAAGACAACCCCCACTGTTCCCAAAACTTCCTACCTGCACAACCTTCACTTAAAAATGAAATGTTGATTAATTTTACTCTGAAGAGGAACATTGCTGCTATGCAGGTGTCAAACTTTGAAGCATAAGCAAATTACTGTTTTATTGTTTGGATATTTCTTGGAGTTTTCCAACAAGGAGGGGTAGTTTCTTTCAAGGCTGCTGCTATAATCATGAGAAAAATCATATAGTGCTGCTGTTGTTATAACCTACATTATATTACAGATTCCTTCTGTAACATAACGAGCTTTTGAATTTCTGGTATATACAGTACAAATACACCTCAACATATTGATATCTTGATCAAAGAGAATAACAAACCAGATAATACAAGTAGAAACAAAATAGAAATTAGTATTTATGCTATTTCAGACTCATGAAAGCAGTTATTGTTTCATAGTAAGGGAAGTGGCAATTTGGAACAGGCTGCTACCTAGCTATGTCATTGAAGCTGATATCCTGGCTTCCTTCAAGAACTGTCTAAATTAGATCCTTGGAACAATGACCGACTAACAGCCATGTGTAAGAAGGCAGATATTTTATTACAAGATCCTTAGATCAATAAGCTGCTAGAAACCAAATGAATAAGATGGGGTGAACAGCCTCAGCCCATCTGTAACCTTTGATATGCTCTTATTGATATATAGTATCACATTGTCAAATCAGGGGAAGGGCCAAAGTAAATCACATCTGCGAGTGAGTTACTGTGCCACAAGAACCAGAGTGTTTAGATGCAGTGTATAAAATACGACAGTGGAAAGTGTAAAATTGACACTGGGACAAGGTTTTAGGCAGGTGAGAAACAGTCTGCAGTATGTCCAAGTCACTTGTTTCAAATCTGATATACTATAATAATAGCTATTTTGAAGATTAGCAAGAGCTGCCCTGTGCCCTGAGAAAGCTACAAATAATGTCCTGCTGAGATGATAAACGTCATGTTATCACGTGTCATAGTGAAATAGACCCCTTTTTAATAGGGGCACTTAATTATGCAGTGATGTTATGATGAGATGAAGAGAGAAAGTACAGTATACAGTACTTTAGACTGTTGCATCCTACCAGGCATCACAGCTGCACTCTTGAAATGAATATTTGAGATCAGCATGGTTTTCAAACAAAAACCTTAACTGATTGAGAGACTAAGGAGCCCCAAGCCCACTTATTTTAATGTCTGATTTCATGTTGTTTGGTATTTCTTTCTTACTCTTTGGGGTGTAATGTCCACGAGCCATAGTATAAACATCCCTATCGCAAAGTCCTGGTTCTGAACAAAAGGAGAACACTGATGTACTGTATATTTAAAGATTTATCCAGACAAACATGTATTGCTGAGAGATATAAAAATGTCAAAAGGGTAGAATTAAGTGAAGGAAAAAAACTCACATGCTTCTTTTTGGCATGCTGTGGTGCTGTAGCTGCTGGGAAACAGATTAAAGGTTTTATGTGCACAGCCAAGACTAACCTAAGGGTGTTTATTGAGGCCAAAATGAGTGTTAAAATTTTAGTGGTTTGAATGTTTCAAATTTTTTTGATAATGATGTTGTTGATGATAATAATAATAATGAGGCACAAGTAATAGGTTTATTCCATGCTGAAAAGAGAAGAAAGAAAACGCAACATTTCGGCTGTGGAGCCTTCAATCATAATAATAATGTTTTCTTTATGAGCACTGTTCTAGATATTCAAAGCACTATACTGTCACATATACAGCACATTAAAAAAATTGAAAGGCAAAAAAGACAGCATATTGGCTTAGTATACCAGAATAAAACTAAATTACAATTACAACTTCAGGCTATTTATGAAAATATTGACAATCACAGAGTTTCTAAATATTTTGGGTACATGCATGCAGTTGATCCTGCCCCTGTCGGGATTTGAACCAAGTTACAGTAGTCACAGGCTCCGAGCACACACAGTGCCACTCTTTTAGGTAAAGGTTTATAGTATGCTGAAAAGAAAAGAAACCCAACGTTTCAGCTGTGAAGCCTTCTTCAAGTGTGAAGGAGAGGGACACCAGCAGCTGATAAAGCATAGGAGAACAAAAGACAGGGTAGCTGAGAGGAGGCAGGGAGCAGAGAAGTATCGACACTCAAAGGGATGTGCAATACGCCCTCCTTAACACCAAATAAAATAATTCGAAGGTCTTGTTAAATCATTAGTCATTAGGTGGTCTCGTTCATTCCTTTTGCTTTTTAATCTAAATCAAAAGCTCATGGCTTACATATTGAGCAGGTTTATAAAAGATGAACACAGTTGAATTCACATAAAAGTGGTCTGATTGATTGATAACCAACTGTACACATCACTATTTACATGTGGTTGAATTATTCTGAGAATCTGTTCATTTTCATCTTTTACTAGAGAAAGGTATCAACAGTAAAATTAGGTGATGTGTCACATTTTCTAGCCTTAATAAGGTTTAACGAGTCACGTGTATTACTAAACATTCATCAAAACCACTATATGAAAAAGCACAAAATGTAAAGTTTCTTTAGAGGATCCAAACATTTTGCCATTTTATATAAGAAGGCAAGTGATTTGCAGTATGTCTCAGAGCAGGTTTTCATTCATTTCATTTTAGCCTGTGGTCATCTTAAAGAACAAGCTGAGATACTGAATCAGTTAGAGCAAGAAGAGATAGGAAGCCTTGTGTCATTCTTATCTTTAAATTGTGACTAAGAACACTATAGAATTTGATGGTGACAAACAGGTTTTAGGGATGCCTTTATTCCCAGATTCCAGGAGTTATTTCATTTGAAAGAGATATCTGCCCATGGCAAGGAATTTTATTGAAAAACAAAAGGAAGGATGGTGTCAGACCGTTTCACAGCTAATGTGTTTTTTCACAGCACAAAATCTGGGGACACAGACATTTACACACCATTGAATGCCTCCAGTGAGCCTGGGGAGCCTGTGTGTTTTTTTTAAACATGTTGGTAACTGATTTGGATGCAGTGAGTGTGAAACTGTGAATTGGTAGCAGATGGTTTAGATTAATATAGACTGGAATGCAACAGAACTGACTCTTAATGATAATGTTTTAAAACCGTACGAGATAGCAGATTTGGGAAAAGCCAGTGGCATGGGTCTGATTAAAAATTCTGATCTACAGTAAAGATACTAATCCTTCAGTATAATGAATAAGTGAACATGTTATAACAGAAATAGAAAGGTTTTAAAGGTTTTTTGAAAGCAATATTAATAACATGCTTGGGACGAACTGACGAACTGTGTTTAGGAGTGAAAGAGTTCAATCCCAGCAGATGATGAGGTGATTCTCAGCTGGTCACAGGATATGTTTATTATATTATTATGCTTTTTGATGAAGTACTCATGTATGACAGAACATGATACATTTAAACGACTTGCATAAACACTAATCACCTGATTAGTGAATTGGCCGCAGGTGATGAAGAGATGCAATGTGCTGAATGTAATGATGGTGAAACAAGAAAGGAAAACACAGAAATGAACCATTATGACCTGCCTATCAAGAGAACATGAGTGTTAGGCTACGATCAAAAAGACCACATGTAACAATACTTTGCAAGGGTGTGGATGCTCATCCTAATGTATCAACATAGCAGCAGGGCAAAGCGGATCCTCATGCTGCTTGTGGAAAAACTGCTTTCTTACAGAGTGC